GCTAAAATGTATTCTGCTGCAAAAGAAAAATCCCAATACGTGTAAATGAATTGGTTTACATGAAAGTTACAGCATCTACAAATGGTGGTATATATACTGGAATTTTTATTTTTTTTATACTAGTAATGGTGGCAATCAGCGACTTATAGTGGGACTGCAGCAGGCATTATGACACTGGGTGGGAACTGCCACTGACATCCCCAGTGATACTAATACAGTGATCAGTGCTAATAAAAAGCATTGACACTGTACTAATGACACTGGGCAGGAAGGGGTTAACATCTGTGGAGATCAAAGGGTTAACTGTGTGCGTTTTGTTGTATGTTGTTTTCTACTAGGGAGGTATGCCGTTTTGTATGTCTCTGCTGAGATACAAAACAGCATGCCCATGCTGACAGGAGAGAGACCTGTGTTGTTTACACACAGGTCTCTCCCCTGTTAACTTTACCCGACGATCACTGAGTGCCGGCCTGGCGACTGACATCCCTAGCCGCCAATAGTGGCGTTGGTAGGGCGGTACGCACGCCCCCTACCCGGAAATGCAAATCACAAATATATACATGTGATTTTGTGCAGCCATGCCTCCCTATAGCAGTACTTCTGCTATAGGGTGGCCTGAAAGCGGTTAAAGCAATCTGACAAAAATAAGATTTTTTTTTTGTTTAATTAAATGTTCCTGTTTAACCCTTTATTAACCATTAATTTACTCCAATCAGCCTTAACTAACTCATTCTTCTTCTCCACTCTATTATTTTTCTGCTTTTTTTTCTCATTTCTATTTTATTAAGATTTAAAAAATTTTCTTTTTGTTAATATTTTTAGACCTTTAACATATATTTAAACACTTCACTTTTAAAAAAAAAAAGGCTAAATTGCAAGGAAAAAAAAAAAAAAAACCCAGATGCAGTAATCCAAAAGCCAAGTTGAGGTTGGCAGCACCAGTCTAATAAAATCGTAGAGACCAGCTTTATCAGTTAGGAAGGATTTTGACTGAAAAAGAAAAAAAAAAAAAAAAAATGAAAAAAAAGTGCTAGCAAAAACATATTAATCTTTCACCTTTAGGAGCATGTTACACCCATATTTAGGGTGTAACATGCTCTCATTCACCCACCTCCCCTGCCAGAGAACCCATCCTGTGACAGAGGGTGGGTGTTCCACTCTTTGCACCAGGCCACTGTCACATTTTTTAAAAAGTGCAGCTATGCGTGGCTCTGCCCACACAACCGCCTCATTCATCCACAGGAATCTGTGAATGAATAAACTACAAGTCTCGTCTGCCACCGTATCATTGTGGTTTCAATGGACATGCTGATGGATAAGGTCATAGTCTATTCACACAGCCTAAAACTCTGTAACTGAAAGCCTGTACAGGCACTAGAGCTGCAGGCAGCGTGTGCAGGAGCCTGACATTGCACCCAAGATCCACTGATAGCGAGTGCAATGCTCTGCAGGCTCCTTTGAAAGAAATGAAGCACATTTTTTTCCCTACAAAAAGATGCATTTATAATTTTTTTTTTGCACACTTAGTGTAAACTTAGTGTTAACGGCAGAGCTGAAAAAATGATGGCCATCCTCCTAGGGCACCAGCAAAAAAACTGAGGCATGCTGAGAGTGGGAGGATTTATCCTGGGCTAGCCTACAGTATTTTGTTTGCTAGCATTCAATCCTCTAGGCCGCAGTGTAACCTGAAGGTGAAAAACGTTCCTAAACCGAACAGAAAGAATAAAAAATTAGTCGTGACAGAAATCATGTGTGCTCTCCTGTGCTGTCATCCTTTCAGTTACATTTTTCCCAGCTATCTCTGAGGACTACAAGACCCATCCCTCTAAGTAATGAAGAATAGGTGAGGCAAACAGATTTGTAGTTCTGTCCTACGGTGACAAAGCTACTCCCCCATAGAAAGAGGAGGTAGGTATTGTAACCCCAGGACAAGAAGTGTGTTTCTGGCAGGATCACAAAAGTCAGTGCAGACTGGCTTTTGTGATGCATTAATAATATGCAGACACCGCATCTAAAAAGTAGTAATCTGCAATATATTACATTATTTTCTTAGATTTAGATATTCTTTAAAAGAGAAAAGGGATGGGAAGAGAGGCGCCAAAGTGGCCAAAGAGTATTACATTAGTAGAGTATAACATGCTGGCCATAGCATCAGCAGAAGAGTGCTGTTTTCTCTTGTATTATTAGATATTCTTTAATCAGCAGTGAGGCCCCAGCACTCCACAAGAGTTACTTCCCTTACATCCCACTCCAGCCTGCTCCAATGTTCTCCTCCTCTGGTCTATGGGCAGAGCCTCAGCATTATCATGTACCAGAACCCTTTAGTGTATGTTTAGGAGGCTGAAGTGAGACTGAAGCCCATCGCAGCTTACACAGCAACTGCAGCGCTGGAGGGGTCTGCTGGAGCGAGGAGCAAGGCATTTCCTCAATCATCTGCCCCTAGACTAACAGAGCAATTAACCTTTGAAGAGTGGGGGGGGGAGGACATGGTAGGAAATGAGGGTAAATTTCTCTAATGGTGCTTGCATAGCAGTAAAAACACTGTATAGGTTTGAACCCTTTTCCACTGCATCCAAATCGAAGAGAAAAAAAAAAAAAAAAAAAGTTTACTTTGATAGACCGCATTTCGAAGCCACAGCATCAGGATAAAGATGATGACTGTAAGCATGCAGGCTACAGAAGATGGGGTTATCTGGCAATGGGGATTAGCCAAATGTGAACCTGTGTCCCTCCAAGTTTCCTCATATTTAAAAGCCTAGGCATTAGTCATGTGATCTCCCAAGAAGGGAAATATCAATATTTATAATGGCTTATCTTCTCCTTCAGCAGAGATGAAATGGCCACACATTACGCCTGGGTTCACACTCATGTGGTGCGGTACATCGCATGTGATTCGTACAGGGACCACACCACATTCCTGTGCGAATCACATGCGATTTGTGTGCGGTGCGATCGAAGCCATACATTATGTATGGCTCGAATCACACCGCACCAAAAACGTGCAGGACCCTTTTTTAGGTCTGCACTAGAATCAGATCGCATGGGAATTCACACCTATGCGATCCGATTCTGCACATCACACCGCGTTTTGCGGACTGATTTCGGGGTGTTGTTAACCTACACACCCACAGCAGTTCGCTCTCACAGGGTGCGATTATGATGCGGTGCAGAATTCGCACTGAAAGCACTGCAAATTCCGCACCGCATCAGTGTGAACCAGGGCTACATCATTTTCTGGGAATAGTTTAGTCCTTCTATTAAGTGATTTTTTTTTTCATACCAATACTAGTAACATGTTTTAAGAGCCAAATGATGACACTTAAAAACCCCCCCGACCAACATACTCTCATCTTACATGCCATCCCTGACACTCCATTTCTCCATCTGAGCCAGTAGTTCTAACCCTGCATAGGCTCTATTTTGGGTGGTTTAAGAGCTTACCCAGGGTTCCCATTCTCCTCCCCATCAGGTGACAGTGCTCAGCCCTGGTTAATGGCCCAAGTACTGCATCTGGAAGGAGGTCACATGTTCCCCCAATACCAAGAAGCACCAAGTATATCACAAGGGTTCAGATGGAGCACCAAAGCAGTGGGGGGGCATGGCAACTACAAGCGGCCCAGAGTTGGGCTTTTAGGAGACTTGTCTACCTTACTTTTGAGTATAGTTCTATTTTAAAGTTATACTTACATATACCCAGTGAATTGACTGTCCTCAGGAGATACACAGAGGTGAAACAAATTATCCTGCATATGTTGTCCTGTTTATTTGCTGCAATTTGTCCTATACATCCTTGTAGAACTTAAAGATGAAAAGGGTTTTTCATAGGCTCAAAGCGGGGTGGGGCTGGGGGGTGGTTATGGGCAAAGCTGTAGTTACACACGGTACAAGAGCTCTGAGAGCTGATTGGAAGGAAGGGACACAACCCCTTCACACAAAGCTGAGGCTGTCAATCACTGGCTGTGCGCTGGAGCTCCCTCCCGTCAACTTTTTAGCTGTTGGTGTCAGGAAAACTTGTCAGAAGTGACTCATGCTGACACTAGAGGAACTGGACAGCAGAGAGAAATTACACTTACTGCTTTGGAGAGAGGCAAACAAACACTATAGTACCTGTGCTTTGCTCTGATTTCATGTCTAAGGTTTGCAACCACGTGACATTCAGTCAAACTTGGCCCTACAATGCATTCCTCTGTATGGCTGCAGTGTGAACATCAGTGAGGGGCCATACACCACAGAACTACGCAGAACACACAGCCTGATGCGCTTTGAGTTGGTGCTGATGTGGTCAATCTCAGCACAATGTGTCGTTTACTTTTTTTTTTTTTTTTTTTTCTTTACACAGAACTTTATTGAAATGTCAATTGTAACATTTTGTTAGTTTTATTCAACACAGCGGTGCTGCAATGTGGTGGTTTGTGGCACAACCCGCTGCACAGAAAAAAGTACTGCATGCAACGCTGCAATCCGGACCAACACCATAGGAAGCAAGGCTTTTGGGGGTTGATTTACTAAAACTAGAGCATGCAAAATCTGGTGCAGCTCTGCATAGAAACCAATCAGCTTCCAGGTTTTATTGTCAATGCTTAATTGAACAAGCTGAAGTTAGAAGCCGATTGGCTACCATGTACAGCTGCACCAGATTCGGAGTACTCCTGTTTTACTAAATCTTCCCCTTTGTTTTGTGTATGTATTGGGGCGCACGGGAAATAGCCCCAGCATGGCCAAACCAAATTGCATGTAAATGAGCCTTGAAGGTGGCCAATCACAGGCATGGCCGAAAACCCCAAATCGAGTGTAAGTGTAAAGGTGCTGGAGCCTTGAAGGTTTTCTTCTTCTTCTACTGTTCTAGGGTGCCATGAATGACTATTGTTCTCCGTATATTTTTAAAATCCATAAAATCTAAGCAGCACTTTGTATACTTTACACAATATTAAATATACACTGCAATGCTGTCTTGCTCAAGGAGAACTTAATAACACAGTATACAAATTATTCAGTCTTACCTTGAAAAACAAGAAGGTTGGCACGGAGGTTATCTCGTACTTCTCCGACACCTCAGGAATGGCTTCTGCTTCAAGCTTCAAATAATAATAATAAAAACAGAAAGGATGAGAAAAAAAAAAAAAACCCCGTTGTAGCAATTTTATTTTCATGTCCCGTTTTATGGCATGTGTTTAGAAAAGCCTCGCAGGGATAGTCGGGATACTTAAAAAGGGAGTCGAATGCAAAAGTTTGTGAGGCATTTGCATTTAAATGAGGCTCGCCAGGCTGCCCTGTCATCCACTGAGCTTGCACTATGACAAAACAGGTTCAAGGGTTCTTATTTTGTTGCACATTGCCGGCAATGCCCCCAGGCGGCAAATAAAATTTTTTTTTTTTTGGTGCACTAGTGACCTAGTAAATTTTCAATCATATGCAGCTACTACTATATTGAAATCCATAAATCACTGACCCCAGTTATGTCATGATTACACTGCTTATTTTCTGCCCAAAGCAATTCTAGCTGTTTGCTCTATTGACTAATTTTGAGAGGCAGTACATCAAGGCTGACATTTGCAGCTCTCTGCAAATTATGAAGCAAAAAAAAATAGAAGGGGGAAAAAAAGGAGTATTTCTTCAATAAGCTATTGATGTCTAGTAAATTTTCAGCTTAACCCTTGGCGCTACAACGCTGCTTCCTGAGCTGAGCTCTTGTTAGAGCAATGAGCAATAAAGCTGGGTCATTTCTAAAGACAAATGGCAGCATGCAATTGAAGATTAGCACTGTCCGTCAATATACACCAGAAGAGACAAAAATCAGATGAGAATACTCAAATTTTGTGGTCGAGAGGCAGAATGTAATCACTGGAAGAGAGACTTTCTAACAAGACTCTGTGGAAGACATTTAGAAATGGGTTTTCACATTCTGAAAAATTATGATAAAACACTTTTGTTTTCCTTTTAACCAGAAGGTTTTACCCCCTCAATGACCAAGGCATTTTTTTGGATATTCAGCACTGTGCTACTTTAATCAGCAATTGTGCGGTCATGCAACACTGTACCCAAATGAAAATGTTTATTATTTGTTTCATACAAATAAAGCTTTTTTTGGGTGGTATTTGATCACCACTTATTCATTTTTTTAGAATATAAATGAAGAAAATTTTGAAAAAAAAGATCATTTTTTACCTTGTTATACAAAAGAAATTCTGCTACATGTCTTTGGAAGATAAAAAATACTCATAAGTGTATATTAATTGGTTTGTGTGAACGTTACAGTATCTACAAACTATGGTATATATTGGAATTCAAGCAGCTATTTATTATTTATTTCAGGTACTTATATAGCGCTGTCAATTTATGCAGTGCTTTACATATATATTGTACATTCACATGGGTCCCTAACCCTCAAGGGGTGTACAATTTAAAGTCCCTAACTCACATTCATACATACACATAGTAGGGCCAATTTAGACAGGAGCCAGTTAACCTACCAATATGTTTTTGGAGTGTGGAAGGAAACCAGAGTTACCAGAGGAAACCCACGCGGGCACAGGGAGAACATGCAAACTTCAGACAGGTGGTGCCGTGGTTGGGATTCGAACCAACAACCCTGGTACTGCCAGGCAGAAGTGCTAACCATTTAGCCACTGTGCTGCCCGGATATGATGCTATACTGGTAATAGCGGTGATCAGCGCCTTATAGTGGGACTGTGATAGTGTGGCAGGCAATCTGGCGCTAGCTGATGCTGGCTGGGTGGTACACTGACAATGACATTAGTACAGTGGTCAGTGCTAATACTGAACTGACTAATGACTCTGGATGCGACATCGCAACCAAAGGGTTAACTGTGTGCCTAACCAGTGTAATGTGTGTAAGATGTGCTGCTTTTACTAAGAGATTTGGCTGCTGATTTACATTGCTAAGCCTGCAGCTGCTGCTTGGTCACAGTATATCTACTGTGAATGGGTGGCAAATGGTTAATATTACTGTTGCAACTTTGTTTTTTGCCAGCTGTGACAGTTCATAATTAGTGCCCAGTTGTGGAATAATTGCAATTACGTGTATAATTTCATAAACTGCACCTTTGTTGCAGCAGGCTATTGCAATAAAAACTAAAACAAAAAAACTGTCACACTGTCAAGAAGTTCTACCGAGTAATAAAAGTGCAAAGATAACACACGTTCCTGCTGCTAATCACGACTATCTCCCCCATCATACTGTTCCTCCCCCATCCACCCCAGTCAAAACACTTTTCTCCCTGCCCTCTCCCCCATCAGCATACATTAATCCCTTTCCACTCAGTCCTGGCATCCCTTATGGGTCTGTACGCCAGGGTGGCAGGAGCTATCGGCGATCATGTAACCACTGTGATTGGCTGTCACAGTGATTACATAATTGGGAGTCGGTCGCGCCAACTACCAATCATTAGTGGGGACCAAGAGCTGTCTGACAGCAAGATCTCTGTCGGGAGCATGCAGTTTTCATCTCATCGTTGACACTACAGAGTGCTCCCAAACCGGGGTTGCTCTACATAGGGTGCAGTGATTGGTTTTTAGTCCAGGACACCTTGTCACCTGCTTGCCCATCTACCAGCCCAACATCACATAAAAAGGAAATCTGTGATGGCAATGGGGTTCTTGATGCTTACATAGAAGACTAAACTCTGTATCACAGCTGCTTCAGCCAAAAGTAAATACAAAATTACTAATCAATATTACTACCAGACTCCGATGGGATATCGCATCACAATATGCCATATGCCAAACACGTTCACAAAAGTATTGTACAACTTGTGGTTTACTCACACAACTACATATCTGAAATATCCAGATATCTTGTTATGTTGTGACACACATTTGGCTGGAGCAGAGGTGATGCAGGGTGCCATAGACTACATACCCAACAGTAAACACTGCAAGGGGCACCAAGCAGACAGGAGAGGTGCTGGTAGATCATCTACAGCAGAGCTACCGAGTACCAGGGCTGAAGAAGATGGAAGGAATGCAAGCACTACCAGTTATAGGTCCAGTATATAGTCCTAGTCAAAGATGAGCAGGTAAAGCCATTGCGTTTCAGGGGCTCACAACGCCTCCCTCAGGAATAAAAAGAAGGGGTCCCCCCCCCCAAAAAAAAAAAAAAAAAAAAAACACATTTATACTCGCCTAGGTGGATGCAGCATCGATCCAATGATGCATCTGTCCCCGGCCAGCTCAGCACCGAGAACTGAGCGATCAAAGAAGGGAAGGAGTGGCTGGCCCAGTCTCCCAGCATCACAGCTCTGAGGTTGAGCCAGCTGCTGGTCCAGGCTTCTGGGAGGATCTTGACCATATTGTTGGGATCTTTCCAAAGCCAGTACCAGCTCTGTGAAGTCAGCTGACAGCGGGCTGTCCAACCTGACCCAAATATTTTGGCTAATGTACAGCACCAGGGCCCAGGGTACTCTCCACCATAGGGGAAACATGCCATCTCACTGCTATTTAAATATTGTTATAAGGGGCTATTATTTGGATTTATGAGCAACTTTTCTACAATACTAAGTTTCTTGTGGGTCGCACTGTACCTCCCACCACCAGCTGTGGTCTTCCCCAGTCTCCAGACAAGGATTGTTCCTATTTGCCTGATAAACGGTTTTATTTGCACTTGTATAGAAAATGATTTACTCTTGTCCCTGGGGACAATTTGGAAATGCTTCAGACTTAATCCAACCATTATAACAGTTATGGATATGAATATTTTGAAATTGTCACGTGTAGGAAAATGGAAAAATTACTGTATTTCGTATTGATATATTGTGATGTCAGCCTGTAATTTTTTTACATTTTATGATTTTTGTGATAATAAAATCTCTTGCTGATTTTATTCACACTGCTTGTAACCTGGTAGTGCCTAGAAAGTCCATCTATTGTTGGCTATATGTGGCTTACTGTGTAACCTCAGCAGTTGTTCTGACTACACTTCCCGATATACACATCACCACCAGACAGACTCTACACCAGCCTCTCTCAACCTTTTCACCCAAGGAACCCTTGAAGTAATTTTCAGGTCTAGAGGAACCTGTGCGAAAACCAATTCATCTGGAGTCAGTGAGAAAAAAAGCCTGTTACCTTGGTGGTCAATGCAAAGAATGCCTCTGTTACAGTTATGATGAGAATGATCATCAGTGTCCTTCAGCTGGCTCTATCACATGGTGTTGGCCCCAGAAATATAGATGCACCACCAAATGGTAGGGCAATCAGCCACAGCTCAAAGAACCCCTAGAGACCTCTGTAGGAACCCTATTTGAGCACAGCTGTTCTCGTCTATCATGAAAATATGGAACACCAAGGATGAGAAATTTGAAAGCCACAATGGTAAGTACAGTATTCAGACAAATATATTGAGCAGCAAACACTATTTTGGAAAATTGTGCTAATAAAGCAAAGGTTGGTGGGTAAATACGTTAAGCCCCCTGCCTTGTACCCTTGTCTTGTGCTTATTGCCCCCCCCCCCCCCTTTATTTCTTCCTCATTCTCTTTTTTCTTTTGTTTAGTTCCACATTTTCCTCCTCCCATTCCAGTTCACAAATAAATTATTTGTACTATGTAACCTTCCTTTGTTTCACCTCCTCTTGTTTGTATGGAAAACTGAAAAACCCGTAATAAACACCTATAAAATAAATATTCATAATTAAAAATCAAATTGTGGGCCAGTTCACACCCCATGTGGTGCGGCAAAAGGCACATTTTTGTGCGGGTTTCCTGCATTCCGTTCAAACACACTGCCCTTGCGATCTGCATGCAGGTACCAAAGTAATGTTAACAGCACCCCAAACGCCATTCACACATGCACTGCATTCACAGGTACTGCAGTGCCATGCCACTTGGTGTGATACATTTTTAAAATACGCTTTCTGCATTCCAGGGCAATTTGCAGCCCATTCTAACAAATGGACTGCAAAATCATAAACCAGGGGAATGCGGCATGCATTCCTGTGTGGTCCCGGTGTGAACCGACCCTAAAAAATGAAGAAATAAAATACCCTCCAGCAATACAAAAATCACTGAATGTGTATTCAGTAAAAATAAACCTTTTCATATTTATATATTAAAAAAAGGTCTACCACACGGTGTCTTAGAAAGAACAGTATTAAATACAGTCCATGCTAGCGATGGAAAAGATTAAGCAGGCATGTTAACACGGCCACCTGCACAAGGGGGTAAATGAATTAGTAAATCCAGGCAGTAATAGTAATGTTGCCATGCTCAAACCCAGTGAACCCAGAAAGTAAAGTGAGCAAAATAATCACAGTGAATAAAATGCATTAGCTGTGGCCTGTATGCAGTGTTTCCACCCAGAAAATAAAGATTTTCTTAAGAGATATCTAAAGCGTTGACAGTCTGCCAATTGAGGGCTTGAGACCCAACACAAATTTAAAACAGCACAGGGATATCGGCTATTTGTCCCTGTGCTGCTGGAAAATGGTCCCCAGTCTCATCGACTACTGGGGGCCCCACCAGTCCTTGCGAGACTATAAGCAGTCAGTGACTAAGTCTGCATTCAGCAATATGCCCAGAAGCTGAAACAACTGACTTCAGATGCTTCTACAGATGCTTCTGCTCCATAGGAGTGATTAAAAGCAAATGTAAAACACGTCACTTCCATATTATGTTTACATTGGGAGTATAATGCCATCATGGCACGTCCTGTCAGTAAAGGGGCTCAAGCAGCTCTATTCCCTAAAGCAGTAGATTGAAAAAAGGGGGAAAAAAACCTGCGCTGTACCCCCAACAATACAATGTGTGAATAAATGTGTGTTCTCCAATCCCAGACGAAGCCATTTTTGGAGAAACGCACATCGGGCGAAGCTTTCTGTGACGTCACCACCTTCCAGCCGGTGGTCTGACACCATGGGAAGTTTAAATGTTTACACTGCCTTTATGCACCTTATCTATGTAAGTGCAATACTTTAATAAATGCTTTGCTGGTTTATCGGGTCGCACTATGAAGTTATTTTCTTCTGTTCTAAACCTTTCCTTGCATGATGTAGAGAGCGGTCTGATGTGAAAGATTCGTTCAGGTGAACCTGCAGTTGTCCATTCATCTCCTTATTCATCTCCATGATACGGCTAACTAGGGTGTCAATATGGGACCTGAACACCATCTGCTCATTTGATCTCTTGATTGGAGATCAAAGTGTCTGGTAAGAGGCTGATTTTTACTTTTGTGTCAAGCATTTGTGGACACCTATGCACTTTCTGTTGGAGGATTTCTTTAGCACACATCACTGTATTATTGGATTTTGGGACTTTTAATTATTTAATATATGAATGTGGACTTATATCATTTCAATTAATTTATGCAACTTTTTTTTATGTAGCAGCATTTATTTGAATATTGATTAAAATTAGTGTACGATAGATAGATAGATAGATAGATAGATAGATAGATAGATAGATAGATAGATAGATAGATAGATAGATAGATAGATAGCTCTATCTATATATATCTCTCTATCTATTAGATAGATAGATAGAGATCTATTGCTGGCTGATATTACATGTGACCTACTGCTGCACAACTGCATGGGGGTCTGAATCTGGTCTCCATTGACCATTTGACCTCCCGTGTAGAAAAATGAAGTTAAAAAAAATACATATGTAAAATAATATTTCCTATAAAACAAAAAAATTATCCCAAAATGAATCCCCATGTCGCAACAACAATGTTGGGCAATGATGCTGCTAATTTACTAAAACTGGTGCACTCAAAATCAGCCAGCTTCTAACTTCAGCTTGTTTAATGAAACTTTGACAAAAAACAACAACCTGGAAGCTGATGGGTTTCTATGCACAGCTGCACAAGATTTTTGCACTCTCCAGCTTTAGTAAATCAAGCCTAATGCCTTTTGAATTTGCAGCAACTGCAAATCAGTGAAAACATTGCCATGAAGCTAATGTGTGTAGTACTCAGTGTAATGCTAACAACTTAAGCAAATCGTTTTTTCCCCCCTACGTGTTGTCATGATATAGTGTCAAAAGGAGAATAAAGCTGTCCTAAAGTAGAATGCATATGTTCATTTTGAACTTACCCATTCTGCTTACAAAAAAGAAAAGCTGCACTAATTTGATATTCTAATCATCAGTAATTATACGGTGGTAGATATATGGGTTTGCACAAATTTATATAAACAAAGCATTTTTACATTTGTTTTTTTACTATTTATTCTCAATAAAAACCAAGGAAATAAAATGATATATGTCCAAATTTGCCAGCAAATTAAAACCCCATCTGCAATGTAAAATATATTAGGATAGACTACAAACAACAAAAGTTTAAATGTGAAAAACTAAGGCATCACCAAAAAGAAGAAAAAAAAATACACTATCTCAAGGGCAAGAGAAAGGCCTGGGGATTCAAGTGGTTAAAGATGAATTCCAGGTATGGTATATTTTAACATAGTTACCTTGGACCAATGTACCTATCTATATACCATACCTGGTTGATGTCCTGTAAGCTGGAAATTACTGAAGTAAACACCTCTAGTCCAGTGATCTCCACTGGCTTCTGGGTCCTGTGCTGAGCAGTCGGCCTCATTCATTCTGAACACAGGAGGTCAGCCACTCAACAAGGGCAGCGGTCAGATAATGCTTTGCATTTTCTGAATGAATGCAAAATTTTTTCTGATTGGATGAGGTGGAGAGCATAATGTCTCCGCCCTGCCTTCCCACCTCATCCAATCAGAGAACACTTTACATTAGGGTTGCACCAATACAGATATCCGTGCTGATACTAAACATTTGCGTGAGTATCGGTACTCGTGCAAATGCTCTGATACCTGAAACAAATGAAATAGATACCCCCGCTGACAGCTGAAATGTATACCAATAAAAAACCGGCAAAAACAAATAAAAAGCAAGCAATTACTGGTTAATGAGAGGTGTTGCCCTGTCGTTAACATCAGAGAACACATTCAGCACATTCAACACAAAAAAAAAAACATGGGGGCAATTGGAGCTGTCAAAAAAACACAATAAAAAAACAAATAAAAAAACAGCCTGACACTGTTTATCAACAACTTTGCTCAGCTGCTAAAACAGAAAGATGAAAAGAAATATTGTTTCATTTTGTATCCTTCTGTTTATTCATCTACAGATCAAGGGGATGAACTTCAGTCTGCAGATGACCTTATAAGCAACCTGTCTAGTAAGGGAAAAAAAAAAAAAAGTTTTTTGGGGTTTTTTTCTTTTTAAATAAAACTTCCTGTGTTTAGCCCTTTGTGAACTCTTAATGTACTCTAATCAGCCCTAATTAACTCCTTATTCTCCTCCATTTAACCACATGCCTACTGGACACTTATACCCCCTTCCTGCCCAGGCCAATTTTCAGCTTTCAGTGCTGTCGCACTTTGAATGACAATTGCGCGGTCATGCGACACTGTACTCATATGAAATTTTTATTATTCTGACTGATTCTCTGCTGTTTCCTATTCTATAATAAAGAAATAAATTTTTATTATTCTTTTCACACAAATTGAGCTTTCTTTTGGTAGTATTTAATCGCCACCAGGTGTTTTATTTTTTGTGCTATAAAAAAAAAAAAAAAAAAAGTTTCTATAATAAAATTTATCAAAACAGGTAATTTTTCTCCTTCACTGATGTGCGTTGATGAGGCTGCACTGATGGCGGTACTGATGGGCGGCATTGCTGGATGGCATTGCTGGGCACAGGTGGGAGGCACTGATGATCGGTGCCAATCACTTCTCTGACAATTGCCAGTTATCGGCAGTACTTTCCTCACGCTGTGACAGCGTAAGGAAAGTGCAGCCGATAACCGGCAGCTGTATTTACCCGGTGATCTGCTGTGTCATTGGATAAAGCTGATCATGTGGTAATCCTTAGGACACAGCGATCACCGCGGGCGCACCGCTGGGGGCGTGTTCTGGAATGACATCCATGGACAATGTCCCAGAACCAGGCAACCCGCACTGTAGCCGTCCTTCGGCGCAGTAGGGAAACTGGTTACTTATTATTTTCCTGCTGTTTCATTTTTGGTCATTTCTGTTTTATAAACTATTAATAATTAAAACTTTAGGGGGGAGGGGTTGCCTGCTTTGTTCATTAAATATTTTTACACCTTTAACATTTTTACATGTTTCACACTGAAAAAAAAAAAAAAAAAAACACATTGAGAAATATATTTAATTTGTAAATAACTTTTCAATACTTTGTACCAGAATCAGAATTTTACTGTCATTTTAAACAGGACAAATAACAGAATAAAATGTGCACTCTTTATGTGCCGTAACAATATTTATTTGTAAACTAATACTGTTCAAAAAAGAAAGTGCTTTTTTTGTTTTGTTACATTTAATTGTCTAAGGATTGTGAAAAAAATATTGTTGCAAGACAATATTCATTAAAAGAAAGCCTTGTTTGTCCACAATATATACGTATTATGCCATTATCTTAAGTAATGACAAAGTTATCGCCGAACAAAAACAGGTCCATAGAAGAAATGTAAAAAACTGCTCTGATCCATAAGGGGATAACAGGTGTGAGAGTTGAAGTGGTTAAGCAGCGGGGCTTGCACATCCATAACAACTGATCACTCATTCAGCTGTCAGCGGAGTTCCCCCACTGATAGCTGAAGTATAAAGAAAACAGTTGCCGTCAGGTATCGGAGAGTACCAAAACAAAAAATATATATTGGTACTCGTACTTGCTGTAAAATAAAAATATGGTATTGGTGCATCCCTAGTTTTCATTCATTCGCTACTTCGACCAACCTGTGTTGGGCTAGCTGCTCAGCACGGGGCCATGTCTGCTTCAGTGATTTCCAGCTTTCAGGGACAATGGCCAGGTATGTTATATACAAAGTTACAGTGATCCACGGTGGACCATATAACTATGTACAAAAATATCCATACCTGGAGATCTTCTTTAATGTTAGGAGATGCAAAGTGTTGCAGGGTACTGCCAGGTTTCTATCCAGTTCCTTCATACCTTTACGAATGTGACTTCAGGTTGGACCTTGGCCAGTTCAGCCAGAACGTCGTTCATTTGTGCGCACTGAGGAGCCCATGGTGCCCAGAAATGCACTACAAGCAGAGATCTAAAACAAAAATACCAACAACTGTTACTGTCGAATACGCGGAAAGCAACAGACACATCTTCTTGATGTAATGTATACAAAAGGACTATGTAGATAAGTCAGTGAACTGATAAAATAGCAAGCATACTAAAAGCGATTCTAAAGGCTCATTTTTGTATCTTGGAAAATAACAAACATGTCTATACTTACCTGCTGTGTGCAGTGGTTTTGCACAGAGCAGCCTGGATCAACCTCTTCTCGGGTCCCCAGCAGGCTCTCCTGGCCCCTCCCACTTGTCGGGTGCCCCCTCAGCAAGCAGTTTGCTATGGGGGCACCCACTTCTCCGTGTGTCCATTTTTCACACGGAGCTGTGGCCTGACCCGCCCCCAACCCCCATCTCCTCATTGACTAACTGGCTGTGACTGACAGCAGCGGGAGTCAATGGCTCCCGCTTGCTGTCTCAACTAATGAGGAGGCAGAGACAGCTAAGGCTATCATTGAAATTGCTGGATTGCGGTTAGGCTCAGGTAAGTATTGAGGGGGCTGGGGGCACTGCTACACACAGAAGGTTCATGCATAGAATGGTAGGTAAAAAACCTTCAGCCTTTACAACTACTTTAATGGAAACTTTTGCTTTATCCATGCATGGCAAGCCAACAAGGTTGACTGTAATGGCTCCCCACCAGAAGTGCTTTAACTTTCATTCCCTTCACCAGCACTCTATTGGGCCAATCAAAGCAAAGATTGCAGGAAGTGCAAGAGTTACATCATCCTGGCCTAACCAATCAAGATTCAGGAGAAGTGGAGGAGTAGCCCTGTAACCTTAGGATTAGTGTAGGCAAGATCCAATTTAAAAGAGAAGTGCATTTTGTAGCGGAACTGCACTGTATTTGAGCACCACAAACCAAAAGTGATTTTAAATTCATTTTTAATATTCAAAACAAAACTCCCCCATCCATCCATGCTTCATTTTGCTGACAAATAATTTTGAAAAGCACCCCTAGCATTTCTGGCTGTGGCCATCTTGAGTAAGGGCAAATGATTCGTGTAGCATTTACTTCCTAGAATCCTTTTGCCCTTAGATCAGGTATGCAGGCAGGAGGGTGTACTTAACTGAGAAACCCCCTCTCCCCTCCTGAAGAGTATGAAATCATTTGCCTAGGCATGGAAAACCAGGAAGTAACTAAAAATGTAAAAAAAAAAAAAAAACAAACAAAAAAAAAAAAAAAAGTAAATATGATATACCTTCCTATCTACTTACTGATGGTAGCAGTATAAGAATTCCATAAAGTCAATGTTGATTGAGAAAGTGAAGACCCACTCTAACACAAAGTGCATTTATCATTTTGGCCTACAGTTGCAAGAAAAAAGTATGTGAACCCCTTGGGATTACGTGGAGTTTTGCATGAATTGGGCATAAAATGTGCTCTGAACGTCATCTAAGTCACAATAAAAGAACACAGTCTGCTGAACATAATACTACACAAACATTAGATGTTGCCATGGTTTAATTGCACATAACATGTAAACATTCACAGTGCAGGGAGGAAAAAGTATGTGAGGCCCTAGCTTAATGACTTCTCCCAGAGCTAATTGGAACCAGGAGTGAGCCAACCTTGACTCCAATCAGTGTGATGATATTGGATGTGTTGCTGACAGCTGTCCTGCCCTTAAAAAACACACACCTGTTTTGGGTTTACTGGTTTCAAGAAGCACTGTCTGATGTGAACCATGCCTCGCAGAAAAGAGCTCTCAGAAGACCTACGATGAAGAATTGTTGACTTGCATGAAGCTGGAAAGGGTTACAAAAGTATCTCCAAAAGCCTTGATGTTCATGTGTCCACGGTAAGACAGACTGTCTGCAAATGGAGAAAGTTTAGCACTGTTGCTACTCTCCCTAGGCGTGGTCATCCTGTAAAAATGACTGCAAGAGCACAGCGCAGAATGCTGCATGAGGTAAAGAAGAATCCCAGAGTGTCAGCTAAAGACCTACAGAAATCTCGGGCACATGCTAACATTTTTGTTGACACATCTACAATAAGGAAAACATTAAACAAGAATGGAGTACATGGGAGGACACCACGGAGGAAGCCATTGCTGTCCAAAAAGAATATTGCAGCACGTTTGAAGTTTGCAAAAGAGCACCTGGATGTTCCACAGCACTACTGGCAAAATATACTGTGGACAGATGAAACCAAGATTGAGTTGTTTGGGGAAAAACACACAACACTATGTGTGGAGAAAAAAAAGGCACAGCACACCAACATCAAAAACCTCATCCCCACTGTAAAACATGGCGGAGGGAGCATCATGGTTTGGTGCTGCTTTGCTGCCTCAGGGCCCGGACGGATTGTTGTCATTGATGGGAAAATGAATACCAGAGTTTATCAAGACATTTTGCAGGAAAACGTACGACCATCTGTCCGCCAACTGAAGCTCCGCAGAGGATGGGTGATGCAACAGGACAATGACCCAAAGCATACAAGTAATTCAACAAAACAATGGCTGCAACAGCACAGAATACGCCTTCTGGAGTGGCCCAGTCAGAGTCCTGACCTCAACCCGATTGAAATGCTGTGGCATGACCTTAAGAGAGCGATTCACACCAGACATGCCAAGAATATTGCTACACTGAAACAGTTTTGTGAAGAGGAGTGGTCCAAAATTACTCCAGATCATTGTGCAGGTCTGATCTGCAACTACAGGAAATGTTTGGTTGAGGTTATTGCTGCCAAAGGAGGGTCAACCAGTTATTAAGTCCAAAGGTTCACATACTTTTTCCTCCCTGCACTGTGAATGCTTACATGTTATTTGCAATTAAACCATGGCAACATCTAATGTTTTTGTGTAGTATTATGTTCAGCAGACTGTGTTCTTCTATTGTTGGGACTTAGATGACGTTCAGAGCACATTTTATGCCCAATTCATGCAAAAACTCCACGTAATCCCAAGGGGTTCACATACTTTTTCTTGCAACTGTAAGCGAACCCAACCCAAGCCACCCTCCCCCTCCAGAGACTCATACTTACCTAAATCAAACAGCTAAAACCTCCCTTGACTATTTACATCCAGCACTGCAAGTCTTCACTGTTCTTATCACTCCTGCATTATGTTTCCAACTGTCCCTGTCTCGGGAAACACGCATGTGTGGGCAGAACAGTGAAGACTTGTGTTGCTGGATGTAAACAATCATCAGAGCCCACAATTAGGCAGCAATACTTACTGGCCGCTGAAAATAGATCTGCAGTGGATCACTTTTCAGAGGGCATTAAAGCAGCAGTTGGCAGGCGTGATCCTACCACCTCCAGAATGTCTAATTTTTTTTAAATCCCAAGAGGAAATTTGTAGTTAAAAAAAAAATGCAAACAACTGCAAGCCAAGCGTTAGCACACGGTTGCTGTCCGCTCTCATTGAACTCAATGGGTGAGTTTGACAGCAAAAATTTCACAGCATGTGTATGTTCTTGTCAGGCTGAAATGTTTGCATTTGCGTGGGCAGCTGGGGGCTCCCCTCCCATGTTTGAAAGCAGTATGCATTTGTGAAGGGAGAGAGTGGGTTTGGTTAGGCCAGGATAAAGGGGGCAAAAAAAAGGATAAATGTGGCTTCAGAGAGGTTGTAGAATCGAGCCCCAAAATGTGCAGCCAGCTTTAGGGCCAATTCTCTCTACTGTACTACTGGAACGCATATGATGCAATTTGGTGTCATTCATTCTGAATGTCATCCCTACACACCTTCCTGACAGATCTGCATTGCTGTGTGTTTACAGAAATTACAAACACACCTTTTTTGGTGCAAAAGGCGGCTCAGTCAAATGGCTGGAGTGCCTTAATGCAATGCATGTCAACGTGTGCGCTAACACACTGCAATGGCCCTTCAAAATGTTGTTCAGACTATAATGTGTGTGGTCAACTTCAGGCAACATTCGTACGCGTGTGATTAAAGCAGAGTTCCACCTGGAAAGAAAAAAAATAAAAGTCAGCAGCTACAAAAACTGTAGTTGCTGACCTTTAACCACTTCCAGACCGGACACTTTTACCCCCTTCCTGACCAGGGCAATTTTCAGCTTTTAGCGCTATCACACTTTGAATGACAATTGCGCAGTCATGCAACACTGTACCCAAATGAATTTTTTACCATTTTTTTTGAGATAGATAAAGCTTTATTTTGGTGGTATTTATTCACCACTGGGATTTGTATTTTTTTTTGCTATGTAAATGAAATGTCCAAAAAATTTGAAAAAAAGTGTTTTTTTTTATACAATTTTGCAAATAAATATTTCATCATAAATCTTAGCCAAAATTTATTCCGTTATCTTTTTAGTAAAAAAAAAAAAAAATCCAAATTAGTTTATAAGCAAAAATTATAATTTTTAAACATTTTTTTTTACATTTTTATTTTTTTTTTTTTATATTATTATTTTTTTTTTTTTTTTTTTTTTACATACTGTCACCCTAGCAGTACAGTGTCACCATGGTGACACTGTACTACTTGTGGGGGGTGATGAAGATTTTTTTTTTTTTTTTTTTTACACTGATTGCTTTTATACCCATATAGGATATAAAAGCAATCATTTCTCTTTCTCTCTGTGTGCATTCTTGCACTCATTGAAAAGAACTGAGTGAGCTGTGATTGGTCATAGCTTGTCACATGGTACAAGGCTTTTGTGAATAGCCTTGTACCATGTGACCTCTGTGATCATTCACAGATTTCACACATAGTAAGCAATGATGTCAGAAGTGACATCTTGCTTACTACTTTGCATGTGATCACTAACTGGCCAATCAGTGATCACATGATCGGGACCTCATACAGAGGTCCCGTCCGACGATCGGTGTTTCACTGTGTCCGGAGGACACAGCGGGCACCGGATTCGCGGTGCTGCGCGCTCCCAGGGAGCACGCACAAGCAGGGTGCGGGGAGGCCGTTTATAGACGGCCACCCGACCCTGCAGTGCCACCGTCCGGCCGTTTATATACAACGGCCGGTCGGGAAGTGGTTAAAAATACAGACACTTACTTGTC